TAGTAAATAGTATAGATATGTAGTATATAGTATACATATGTAGTATATAGTATACTTAAGTAGTATATAGTATATAGTATGCATATGTAGTATATAGTATACTTAAGTAGTATATAGTATATAGTATGCATATGTAGTATATAGTATATATATGTAGTATATAGTATATGTGTAGTATATAGTATATGTGTAGTATATAGTATATGTGTAGTATATAGTATATGTGTAGTATATAGTATATGTGTAGTATATAGTATACATATGTAGTATATAGTATATATATAGTATGTAGTATATATATGTAGTATATAGTATATATAGTATATAGTATATATATGTAGTATATATATAGTATAGAGTATACATATGTAGTATATAGTATATATATATAGTATATAGTATATATATGTAGTATACATATAGTATATAGTATGTATATATGTAGTATATATCTAGTAAATAGTATGTAGGTCTGTAACTTAGTATATATATATATGTAGTATATAGTATATGTATGTAGTATACATATAGTAAATAGTATGTAGGTCTGTAACCTATCATTTATATGTAGTATATATATAGTAACTAGTATGTAGGTCTGTAACCTATTATATATATGTAGTATATATAACTTAGTATATATATAGTCAAAGGCAGCATCGCTGAGTTCCCCACGTCCTTTGTTCCGTGTTAGAGTATTGTATTATTGATAATAACAACAATGTCGATAATAATATACTAATAAGAATAATAATAATCATGACAATAATAAAAATTATAATAATAATATAAGAAACATAGTAATGATAAGTATAATAATAAAGACAATAATAATTATTGTTATGTTTATAACAATAATCATAATATTAATGGCTCAAATACACACACACACACATATATATATATATAATATATATATATTTATATATATACATATATATATATATTTATATATATATACATATATATATTTATATATATATACATATATATATGTATATATATATACATATATATATACATATGTGTATACATATATTTATATATATATATATATATATATATATTTATATATATATATTTATATATACATATATATTTATATATATACATATATATTTATATATATACATATATATTTATATATATACATATATATATACACACATATGTATTATATTTCATCAAAACAAGGAAGTATTGTTTTATTTAGTATCTGAGATTTCCCATGTTCGCTTTCTTACATATAAAATTATGCATAATCATGGATTTACATTTCAAAAGAAGAATAGTTGCTGTGTGTGTATATGTACACACACACACACACATATATATGCATGTATTATATATATATATATATATATATATATATATGCATGTAATATATATATACATATATGTATATATATATGAATGTCAGCTTTCGACACCAAAACTCAAACGACTCCGACGTTTATCGTCCCTTTTTAAACCCTAAAGCATGTATCGACTCCTTCAATAGTTTCATCGAACCCCAAGAAACAACAACGACCACTTAGCCGACACCTGGGCTAGCCTTCCCTCACCTCCAAGAGCACGAGTTCCCTCACTCTACCTTCGCTTCTCGATCAGTCGACTAGAGTTCCCTTGAGCGGAGTCTGTCTGGTTGACGCCCGAGGAAAGGCACGCGCGGTCACTCAGCTGAGACGAATTTACCGGGACAGAGAGTGTGTGAAGAAATAAGGTAAGTTCGTATTTCGTTTTGATGAATATATTCAGGCATGTAAATTCGCAGAATGTAAGTGAATATTATTGCTGTATTAATACATATATATATATATTATACATACATGTGAGTAAATGCATATGTATACACACGAATATTGTACATACACACGCATATATAGAGTAGATATACATATAGTTATATGTATACATAAATATAGTATATGTGCATACGTGCCCCATATATAAATTGAAACACGCACGTGTATTACTTCTCTTGCATACACACACACACACATGAACGCGTACACACATACACGCATGCACAAGCGCACATATACACCTGCGCACTTCCTAGCATACGCGCTCATACTCATGTACAAACGTTTGAACTGTCTATATGGCTACGCATACGCACTCCATTAAAATGAGCCCTGCATTATAATGTGCTGAAATTGTAGGGTTGCAGATGAGGGGTTCAGGGAAGGAGGGGGTAGGTGTGGAAGGGGAACATTTAGAATGGTACTAGAATGGGTAAGGACGAGGTTTAGAATTAGAGGAAGTTAGAAAGGGGATATTGTATCCGGCAATTTTTCGGATTTATCTGTCGCATTCCTAAGCCGGCGTGCGCCCTCGTCCGACCGCGGCCACGGGTCGCGGGGTCAGCGTCTGGCGCTCGTTTCAGGTGCCATCGCTTGAGTTAGACTTCGTTAGTACATAGTTTATCTGGCGGATATTCTGTTGAGTGGTTGATTATACTTGTCGCTTTATGGTATAGGTTTAAACCTACCCGATTTTGTGATGTGATGCACTTACTGGCGGTTTGGTTGTTCCTTAGCAAATCTTGGTTAAAAAACTTGTGCTACTGTTACTCGGCTTTCTGTGTATATGGGGACAGGTGATGTTGGCAATTTTCTAATTACTTTCTCTGAGCGGTGTGGCGATTATTTTTTATTTTTCTTCATTTTACTATTATCATTATTGTTATTATTATTATCATTATTATCATTATTGTTATTATTATTATCATTATTGTTATTATCATTATTATCATTATTGTTATTATTATTATCATTATTATCATTATTGTTATTATTATTATTATTATTATTATTATTATCATTATTATCATTATTATCATTATTATCATTATTGTTATCATTATTATTATCATTATTATCATTATTATCATTATTATCATTATTATCATTATTATCATTATTATCATTATTATCATTATTATCATTATTATCATTATTATCATTATCATCATTATCATTATTATTATTATCATTATTATCATTATTATCATTATTATTACTATATTATAATTATCATTCATCATATTTTTATGATTTTCATCATCCTTATCACTAATATTTTTATCATCCTATAGAATCACTATTATTACCATTATCATTACTATTATCATTATATTATTGTATTACTATAAGTTAATCTTCATATTTATTACCATCATTTAATCAATATTATTAAATGTATCATCATTATAGTTTTTATTATCATTATTATTTTATCATCTTTTTCTTTATTATCATTATTTTCTTATCATCATTATTATGATTTTTATTATATTAATTATCAGAATGATTATTATTAATGCTTAGATTGTTTCTATCATTATTATTATTTTTTGTTAGGAATATTACTATCATTATTATTATTATTATTATTATATTATTATCATTATTATCATTATTATTATTATAATAATTATTATTATCATTATTATTATTATCATAATTATTATTATCATAATTATTATTATTATTATTATTATCATTATTATTATAATTATCATTATTATTAGCGATATCATTATTGTTGTCATTTTCAACATTGTTATCATTACTGTTCTTATTCTTATTCATATTATCATTCTTATCATTACCATTACCATTCATATTATCATTCTCATTGTTATTATCATTTTCATTATTATCATTATCAGTATTATTATCATTTTCATAATTATTATGATTATTATTCTTACAATTATCTTTATTATTATCATTATCATTACAATTTTCAGTATCTTTATCATTGTCATTTTCATTATTATTATTTTATTATTATTATCATTCTCTTTATTATCATAATACCTTTTTAAAAGCATTTTTATCATTAATGCTATGAATATTATCACTATTATCATTATGCTTTTCTATTATTATCATTTAGCAAATATTATGAATAACCTTTTTTATTGTTATTATTATTATTACTATTATTGTTACAATTATTATTACTATTATCTTGTTATCACAGGAAAAAGTTCCTGGTAAGTTCTTCCCGAAAGCAAGCTAGAACAACTAGCCTCAGGTTTCGAGAACCTTTCTCAATGTTCTTGCAGTTCCTAACAACGCCGTTTTCTGTATCACTTCAGTCTTGATCTTGATCCCTATTTTCTCTATGTACTGCTCTGCTTCTTTTGTGACACATTCCAATGCACCAACTACAACTGGGGTAACACTTATTTTTCGAAGGCACCATAACCTTGCGATTTCTCTTAAATCTTGATACTTTTCGATTTTCTCTTGTTCTTTCTGTTTCATCCATGTATCTCCTGGCACGGCTCTGTCGATGATCAAGCACTCTTTTCTGACTTTAGCTCGACGGCAATGTCTGGTCGCCTATGCTCAATTTCGTAATCTGTGTTTGTTAAAGTCCCACAATACCTTAATGCTTTCATTTATCAGTAATGCCTTCTGGCTTATGATTGTACCATTGTTCTGACCTGGGTAGGTAATACTTCTTGCATATTTCCCAGTGAACTATCCGTGCTACGTTGTCGTGGCGTCGCTTATATTCCCTCTGGGCTAGCTTGCCACACTTACATATGATATGGCTCACTGTTTCTCCCTTCTCACCACACATTCTGCAGGTCGGCGAATCTCTTGATTTGTCGATATGATGTTTGACGTAAGTCGTACGTATTGCTTACTCCTATGCCGCCATAATCAGTGCTTCTGTCCCTTTCTTCAAGTCTCCGTTTTTAACCTTAACCATGATTTCTTCCTGTCTACTATCCCATCCATATCTCTGAAAAACTGACCATGCATTACTCTTTCATGCCATTTGACTTCTCTTTCTCTTCTTTGATCTTTATACTCTGATGGTTTAATGATGTCATTGTTCATTTTCTGTTGTTTATGTACTGCTTTTAATAATTGCTCTTGGCTGTTTTTAACATACCATCTAAGGCTATTTTCCTCCGACTGGATCGTTTCTAATACACTTTGCAATCCCCTCCACCTCTCTGTCTTGCAACATACAATCGATCGATGTCACTTTTTGGAGGCAATGCTCCATTCATTGCCATGATTTTCCGTGTCTGTCTAGTTTCTCCAGTTCCTCTTTCGTCCACTTCACTATCCCAGCCCCATATCTCATCACAGCTACTACCCAAATATTCATAGCTGAAATGGCATTCCTGCTGTTCAAGTTTGATTTCAATATAAGTTTAATCCTTCGCTTGTATTCCTTTCTTGAATCTCTCTTTCATTTCCTTCTCCTTTGTCCCATCTAGTTCTACTATACCCAAGTACTTGTAACCTTCTTCGTTGACGCCTTTCATCTTCTCTCCATCTGGTAATTCAATTCCATCACAGGTGACCAT